TCTTAGACCTTTCGACATCCACAAAACAAAAGCAACTCATTAATGAAATTTGTGTCTGGGAAATTAATAAGAACTGATAAAATAGGTGGGATGGTTTAGTTTGATTATTAAATGAAACCATTTTTATCCCAATTACTATAAAAACCATAAATTGGATATGAAACATATGTGATAACATAGCGATAACTTAGTTACAGTTACTTCCTGTTGGCCAGACGGCAATTTTGAACTTTGTTATCCAGAAATAGGCTACTCAGTTCTGTTTTGTCTATTCATAGTCTGGTTAGTCTAAGCTACTTTGTATTTACCAATCAAATTTATTTCTCATTCAAAAGTCTTCTTATGGTTAAGTCTAGATAATCATAGCTTCAGTCTAATTGCATTAAGGGGATGTTTTCCTAATTGCATAGAAAGAGGTATTTTCCTAATTGCATAAATGGGGTGTTTTCCTAATTGCATAGAAAGAGGTGTTTTCCTAATTGCATAAATGGGGTGTTTTCCTAATTGCATAGAAAGAGGTGTTTTCCTAATTGCATAAATGGGTTGTTTTCCTAATTGCATAAATGGGGTGTTTTCCTAATTGCATAAATGGGATGTTTTGCTAATTGCATAAAAGAGATCTTTTGCTAATTGCATGAAAGAGGTCTTTTGCTAATTGCATAAATGAGGTGTTTTCCTAATTGCATAAAAGGGGTGTTTTCCTAATTGCATAAAATAGGTCTTTTGCTAATTGCATAAAAGAGATCTTTTCCTAATTGCATAAAAGAGATCTTTTGCTAATTGCATAAAAGAGGTGTTTTCCTAATTGCATGAAAGAGATGTTTTGCTAATTGCATAAATGGGTGTAAACCTAATTGCATAAATGGGTGAAAACCTAATTGCATAAATGGGTGAAAACCTAATTGCATAAATGGGTGAAAACCTAATTGCATAAAGGGGTGAAAATCTTATTGCATAAATGGGTGAAAACCTAATTGCATTAATGGGTGAAAGTTTATTTGCATAAATGGGTGAAAATCTAATTGCATAAAGGGGTGAAAACCTAATTGCATAAATGGGTGAAAACCTAATTGCATAAATGGGTGAAAACCTAATTGCATAAAGGGGTGAAAACCTAATTGCATAAAGGGGTGAAAACCTAATTGCATAAATGGGTGAAAACCTAATTGCATAAAGGGGTGAAAACCTAAGTAAATAGATGGGTGAAAACCTAATTGCATAAAGGGGTGAAAACCTAAGTAAATAAATGGGTGAAAACCTAATTGCATAAATGGGTGAAAACCTAATTGCATAAATGGGTGAAAACCTAATTGCATAAAGGGGTGAAAATCTTATTGCATAAATGGGTGAAAACCTAATTGCATTAATGGGTGAAAGTTTATTTGCATAAATGGGTGAAAATCTAATTGCATAAAGGGGTGAAAACCTAATTGCATAAATGGGTGAAAACCTAATTGCATAAATGGGTGAAAACCTAATTGCATAAAGGGGTGAAAACCTAATTGCATAAAGGGGTGAAAACCTAATTGCATAAATGGGTGAAAACCTAATTGCATAAAGGGGTGAAAACCTAAGTAAATAAATGGGTGAAAACCTAATTGCATAAATGGGTGAAAACCTAATTGCATAAAGGGGTGAAAACCTAATTGCATAAATAGGTGAAAACCTAATTGCATAAAGGGGTGAAAACCTAATTGCATAAATAGGTGAAAACCTAATTGCATAAAGGGGTGAAAACCTAATTGCATAAAGGGGTGAAAACCTAAGTAAATAAATGAGTGAAAATATAATTGCATAAATGAGTGAGAAACAGAAGCAAAATGTTACCCGATAAAAATGCAGAGGTTAAAAACCCTTAAGATATTAGGTCCAAACTTTGTTTACCAAAGATCTTAGACGCATTTTCATTCTATAAAAATGTTCGCCATCATTTCGATCGATAAGCTATTAAACTATTTTGTACTTCTTTATTTGTCTCGGAATTTAGGAGGTTTAGACTTTGAGAACGGGCTGTAGCCGAGTCGGTTACAGTGTTGGAATCTTTACATGACGTCAGATACTTGGTTAAGCCGAAAACATGGTGAATGGGGATTCAAATCTCGGTCCACGATAAAGTTTTGCACATCTTCACAATGTCAAGCCATTACGAACTTCGTCTTATACCTTGACTGCAATAGCCACCTTCCAAGTATAACCGAATGCAGGGCTTTGATTGGATTTAATACTAACGAATACAGTCAATCAAAGATTATAAACATTATGGCTTATTGTTTACAGACTTTCTTTCGATGACTCTGATTGGCTATATTCGCGAACATACAATCCAATAAAGTTGCTTCGCTTGCAAACTTCCATGATACAAGAAAGGTAGCCATTGCAGTCAAGGTACAAGACGAAGTAGTATCACAAGGGGTCTCCGTTTAATGTTCCACCCGTACGACTAGATGCTTTTTCCATTTTTACCCTCTCCGACCTGCATCACTAACCGGGGCCTTTATAAATCTGAGATTGAATTCAAAGTGGGGTGGTATTTGAAAGAGACAATTTAAAAAATGATGGAACCAAGGCAATAATTTTGTCCCAAAACCCAATCATTAACATGTAACTTATTTCTGTGAAACTATTTCAAATCATGTAAACAAACCAATTAACCCAACAACACGTTTCCAGATAATTACATCGTCTGCAAATAGTTCCAGTCGAATCTCAGACCATGAAATATAGAGATAAATCACGCGCGGTACCTTACCAAACATTTCATAATAGAATTCTCCAAGAAAGTAATTCCTGATAACGTCACGTTCTTAAGTTCCTGTTTCTATAGAAACGGTTCCAGATTGAAATGGTGTAGTAATCCGATTTTGAGACAATTTCGGTTATTTGAATGCCAACGTTTTTAAATCTATATATTGCATCATTAGTTAAATAAACCAACCAAAAGGATGATAACTTGTCTTAGAAATGGAGTTTACCTTTCTAAAATCAGACGATCTGTTAGCTAATTGACTAGAGCTCATCTCATGCTGAAATGTGTTTCAGATATACAATCCTCACCAGGACAGATAGTTTTAAAAATAGAGATTAACTTTACAATAAAGGAGTTCATACTAGCTAATTAACTAAAGCTCATCTCATGCCGCCGATACGTGTTTCAGATATACAATCTTCATCAGGACAATTAGTTTTGAAATAGAGGTTCCTATAAAGCAGTTAATATTAGCTAATTGACTAGAGCTCATCTCATGCTGCCGATACGTGTTTCAGATAAATAATCCTCATCAGGACAGCTAGTTTTTTGGCTTAATTTCCTAAAATTGGGAATATTTATCTGTTGTAGTCTGAATTGGTTTAAAACAATGTTATTACCTCCCTTTACTTCGATTTTATGATATTTTCTTCTCCACACAAACTATTTGTCCCTTATAATAAGTCAGAATTTGTCCCAACTTTCCGCGACAGTACATATGGAAAGCAGAAGGGGGATTGGGGGGGGGGGGGGGATTGGGGGGGGGGGGGGGAATTTTTAGGCTGAAATTCAAAATTCCGC